TCCGGAATGTATAACAGGCTGGTCCCAGGCCATTGTGCTTTGATAAAGCGCGCGGTCATCACCCCAACGAGACTGTTGTTCTACCCACCGGAAGTCATGGAGAAGAATCGCGTTCTCAGGAATTATGATACAGAAAACTTCCTTCGTGTCAATATTCGTGACGAAGACCTGTCAAAGATATCTGCAGCAAGAGGAAATATCGACGACATATTAGACGGAGTAAATCGTAAATTGGATGAAGGACTAGTGGTAGGTGGTCAGCGGTTTCAATTTTTGGGTTCCTCGAACAGTCAGCTTCGCAACCATAGCTGTTGGTTTGTAGGGCTCAGTTCTCTACCGGATGACATACGTCACTGGATGGGAGACTTCACCAATATCAAGTGAGTAAGCACTATTCCGTTTTTCAATTTCAAACAAGTTAAAGTTTTTAGTCAAAACTGAAAAAAAAGGAGAAATGACATTTCTCCACCCAAGCGATATCGCTCTTTCAACCAGCATAGCTATTGATCAGAGGTGAACAGGAAAGCAAAGCAAATGAAAAGAGTAGGAGATAAATAAATGTCGGCCACTTTGTTTAGGGCCACTTGATCAGAGGCAATGAGGGCTCTCACAAGAAGTCTAGAATTGTTGTTGTCACTCATGCACCGTGCTGAGTTTTTGTTGCTTGTGAGATGCACCATTAGTAATTGGTAATATGCACTTTATTTGAAAAAGTTGCTAATCACAGAGGAAACAAATTACCCTGAGACTGTTTCGATTTTGTTTCACTTTACTCAGTGATTGGTCAAGGTAAGCTGTTCAGCCCTTTCGACCATCCAATGAGGTGAACAATTCAATTCGGTTGTGACTGTTATTCGCATATATCCCCATTCGACGCAGTTTAGTTGTTCAATTTTTTCTATTTCCGTTTGGCTTCACGTGATATTTTCTTTCAATCCAGTTGGCCTCCTTTACATTAAAATTTATATTTGCTTTCCAATAGGTGTGTTGCCTCATACATGGCTCGTATGGGTCAGTGTTTTTCCCCCTCCATAGACGCTGTGGGGTTTGCGACCAGTGAGGATACCTATCATGACGAAGAAGATGATGTTAAGACAGCTGACGGAGAATACTGCTTCTCCGACGGAGTCGGAAAGATATCCGAAGAGTTAGCCGCAGAGGTATAGCGAATGTTCGTTTTACTTCGGAAAAATGGGAGACATTCCCTTCTGATTGCGAGCCCGCTGAAACACAAGGTAGTTCAGCAGTGTAAGCCACTTTACGTGTGGCGCGACAGAACTGAATTAATAACGTATGCGTACGCGCTKGGTTTTGGCGCGGAAAAACGGATTTTGAGTCGTTCGCATGGTTGATTTTCTATTCTATTGCTTCGAAGCGTTGTTTTCTTAGACGCTTTTCTTTAGCAGAACAACTTCCAAAAACTTTGTACATCTATTAAATACTTTTCATAATTACTTTTCTTCTTAAATGCTTTGGAAATAGGAAAATGCCTTCGACGACAACAAAATGCCTTGGTTTTAAATGCCAGCTCTTATTATTTTCGCAAGTTTTGCTAAATTTTAAACTTCAAACGCTTTAGCCCGCGTTGTTGACCGCATACCTTTGAATTAACAAGTGGTTATTCAGCTGTATCGTGAAGCGCACTATAATCGTTATTTGCCCCCTCCCCCTTTGAATGCTATTTTTCGTCGCCATTTAAGGACATCTGGCTGTACTTAATTCCAACTATTGCTTGCACCTTGTGCCGATATTTTTTTTTGTTTAGCTTTATGACAGTCAGTCCTTCAAAGAGCGCTGTATTACACTTTACTTTATTTTACGCATTCAAAGAGCTTCTCTTGTTGCATTAGACTTAAAAAACCACTCCCTATTTNGAGTCCTTTTGAGAACATGTTCATCCTATTTTATCGCGTCAGGTTTTCGTACGGTATTCTGCGGTTGAAACACGTGAGGATCGGGATGACGAGTTTAACATGAACAAACAAATTGTGCTTAGGGGACCGGTGGTGGTTACTCGTAATCCATGCTTACATCCGGGAGATGTACGCCAGCTTGAGGCTGTTGACGCACCAGGCCTCTGTCATCTTGTGGACTGCGTCGTTTTCCCACGTCGAGGCTCGCGGCCACACCCTAACGAGATGGCAGGTAATATGCCTATTGCCATAGTTTAAATAACTCTCTATTTCAATCTTAAACACTTCCACGGCAATTAACTTTTATAAGAGGGACTCATTTAAGTACCTCGTGAAAGGACCTAGTGGGGTAATGTAACGTATATTTATTTATTTGCAGTACTTAGACAGGCTCTCCTAGTTCAGCTTAAAAGCTGGTTTACAACCCTTTTCAGTGTTATGTGCATAGGAACTATTTTCCACTACTGTTGGACTTGTTTCTTTCGACATGCTTTGTAACCAAGCCTGCTGTAAAAGGTCGTTGAGGCCGTAAACATGGCGGAACACCCGACTGTTTTGGATGCCGAATTTGGGCAAGCGATGAATGTTTTTGGCCTGCCAGTTCCCGAAGATTCCGAGGACTTTTGTAAAAAATAACGTGACCAAACCGCAACTCTAGGAGCTGCGTTCCCTAATCTTTGTGAGAAGTGCATAGTTCTTTAACGTGTTCTTCTAACCAATACAGTCAAGGTGTAGGAGACTGGGTCAGCGGTTTATCGTCATTATTCGAGAAGATTAGATTGTCTAATCATCTGCGGATGTCATAGTAGAGGCACCACGTTCTCCTCCGCTCTTTTTAAGACCTTAAGTCTTGCTCCTGTCTGTGGCTTTAACCCTCGACCTCCCGCACTGCAGTCGGCGCTCTACAGTCTCTACAACATCAGCTATGTATGTACGTAGCTAACCAAGCGCGGTTTTTTTCAGTGGAATCCGTGCGAAGTGTATGAATGTAGTCTTAAACAGATCAGCAGATTGTGTATTTTTGAACGAACCTCTAATTGCTTATTCTGATTTCAGGCGGTGATTTGGACGGTGACCTATACTTCGTCTGTTGGAATAAAGACCTGTTACCAAGGAAACCAAATTACCCGCCAATGGACTATCCGTCACTTCCTAAACTGGAACAGACTGAGCCAATCGCTACTCGCGATATGACCAAGTTTGTGGTGGATTACATCCGGTCTGACCAGTTAGGCGTGATTGACAACGCGCATAAGGCTTTGGCGGATACCGAGAAAGACGGCGTGCAATCCGAGATTTGTATTTTTCTTGCAGAACTGCACTCTTTGGCAGTTGACGCACCCAAAACGGGAAAATGGCCGGGTACTAATGGTATTGGGAAGATAAAAAGGCTTCCTGATTTCATGATGAAGAGCGATAAACCAAGTTATCCCTCAGAAAAGGTTCTAGGAAAGCTCTATC